CAACCGGAAAAGCCTATTTTTTATAATCAGACAGATTTCAGAGTCAATGGAATAGGCCTGAAAATTAGAAAGTTGCCTATCACCTAGGGACCTTAAATCTTCTCTGGCATACATCAAATCTGAGAAAGAACACAGTTTTCTGTTTAAATTCTAATCCTTTGTGAAATTGAAATTACTGGATTATTTTAATATTAACACTTCTCCATATTGCAGAAATGGAGTCTTGGTGTGGTGCTGTAGGATAAGCACTGGACTTCAAGGTCAGTTTGAACCCCAAGGTTGGTAGCTCAAATTCAATAGCCGCTCCTCAGAAAACACATACAGAGAAGTGACTTGATGGCACTTATCGACAACAACTTGTTACAGAAACACTTACCAAAGTTTATCTAAATCCCTCACATACCATTTGTGGTTGAATTTCTAAAATAAATCTCATGGTGATCATTAAAAATGCTTTTTCCTGAAAATGCAATTTTCGAATGAAAAATGGTACTTCTAAACCTTGGATTGAGGTCAAGTCAGGGGGTGGGGAGTGTTAGAGAAAATTCCACAATTTTCCCATGCAATTAATGCCCATACTTCATTATACAGTTGGTGCAGAGACAGATGCCAAAGCCTTGGGAAGATACCAATCTTAAGCAATCACACTATTCCCAATCAAACAAAATGCTTGCTGCACAGTTTAAATGTGCTGCTCTTCCTCCCGGTCCCCCTCCCTGACATTGCAGAAAGGTAGAATTTTGGAAAATGTCACATAAAAATTAAATTGTCATGCTTCTAATTTAGAGTAGTTACCTTCTCCTGACTCAGATTTTCTTCCAACTTTTTCAAAGGTAACATTGCTTCTGAGGTGAGCATAAATTACTGTGCAGCAAAGTGGGGAAGGTGAATGCTTAAGATACTGTGAACTGCACTCTGCCAGAAAGCAATTCTCTTTTCAGTCCCAATTTTAACCACCTTCTTAGGCTCTGGGAACAATTCCAAAACTCCTAAAGTGCATATGATTTCCTATTTCATTAGTTATATGGCTATGCAGAAAATGGATATTAATGAAGATGTTTAAAAACAACAAAAAAAAAAACCAATGGCAGAAAAGCATAACAGAAAAATTTTAAAATACTGGAATATCATTAACTTCCAAGGGTACAATTTTATTGAAATGATTTATTTCAGTTCCCAGTATCTGATGAGGTATTAGCAAAACTCTAATAAAAGGTGAGAATGGAATCTTCAACTCTTATTAACTTTCTACTACATTATTCCTGCATACGAGGCTGAAAGTAGCTCTGGATGAACAGAGTTTATGTTTTACCATTACCTAAACTTTAAGAATTTAATTTTGTGCTTTGGTCACTCAAACAGATTAATGCTGAAAAAAACTGTCCTAAGCTCAGCTTTTTGGCTTGGAATCACATGGGTTATAAAAGGCTTCCCTACCACTTAATGTGAAAACAACCTCACGTACAAAAGTTTTGAGAAATGCCAATGTAGCAGTTTCATCTTGCATTTGGAAAAAAATAGTACAAGAAAAGATGCATCAGAAGAACAAAACTTAACTCATCATCTGTTTTTGAAGATCATTGTTCACACCCTTGATTTATACTGTTCTAGGAACTACCACGTTCAGATGAAGGACTTTAAAATGAGTCTTGAAACCACACATCTGGAGGCATTCCTTGACCACTACCTATCATTAAAGAGATATCCAGAATTTAAAAAGCATAGCTTGGATATTCTAATCAGGCACTGTGGTTTTTCGCACTTGGATTTGCATTATCTCTTTCAGTCCTCATTACAAATCTGTGAGGTTGGCTATGTTGTTATCTGCATTTTATAGATGAAAAAACTGATGTTTATAGAAATTAAATAAACAGCTCAAGGTAAAAATGCATTTAACAGCACACCAGACTATCTATGTCTGATTCCAGAGACCATACTAGTAAACACTGTATGTTTCTTTGTACCAAATGCAGAAGAACATATTGGGTATCTATATTATTTGCAGTTTCTAAAAACTGAAAAATTTTACAGCAAAACTATTGTAAAATATTAATCTTGGGCTTAGCTTGTATCAATTAAGTTAAACTGAAATTGAATAAAAAGGTCTAAGCTATTGACCTTAGCTTAGGAAGGCCCAAGCTAATGAACAAACCAATCTGTGTTGGAAGAAGTGCAGCCAGAATGCTCCCTTGGAAGCCAGGATGACCAGACTTCATCTCTCATACTTTGGACATACTGCCAGGAGAGACCAGTCCCTGGAGAAGGATGTCATGTTTGGTAAAACAGAGGCTTGGAGAAAAAGAGGGAGAACCCCCCCAATGAGATGGATTGGTACAGTGGCAGCAGTGATGAGCTAAAATGGGAGTAACGATTGTGAGGTTGGTGTAGGACTGGGCAGTGTTTTGTTCCCTTGTGCTCAGGGTTACTATGAGTCGGTACTGACTCGAAGGCACCTAACAGCAAACAAGCTAAGGACGGAGGTGCATATAATTTTCTCAATGGATTGACTCATTCAAATGTATATTTTACTAATTTTCAAAATAAGCATCAAGAATATAATTATTTATTATAGTTTTATTAATGAACAGATGCTAGCCTAATCTGTAATTGATTTAGTTTTTGATTTAGAATAAGACATCTGAAAATACACCATGCCCCAAACAAACACGCAAGGCAAGAACTATCCTCACACCTTCTCCACAATCAAAGGTCATCAAGAGATGTTTAGGCTAAGCTGAGAACCTGTTTATTTAACCAGAATAAAAGGAGAAACCAATTATTTTGAGTAACGGTCATTAAAAACTTACTTGTGTGACCTTACATCATGTTAATGCTCTTGTTAAAATAATATAAAAAAGGAAATCTGTCTGGAAGATTTCAGAGCTCAGATCTGAAAGTGAATTTCAAATCTTGCTTCATAATGAAAAAGCTAAACATAAAGGTGTTGAAATGTAATGATTAATCATGTCTATGCCTTCAAATCAACAATGATAAAGCAAATGGGCTCATTTGGCCCCAATTTCATACATAACAGGATCTAATATGAAAATATATTTACAGACGTCATAATGTGAGTCTGAATGTTTAGGACAGTCAAGGAAACTATAATCTCCTTTGGAGTGCCTGGCTAGTTCTTTTTTCAAATGTGAATCATCAAATGAATTCAATCAACAGTCTTTAGCAGGGGTGGAACTCAGAGACTGGAAAGAGATATTAGGGATACTCCTCACAGCAATATGAGTATTTCACACCATTCATAAGCTGCATCTGAAATAAAGCACTCTATACTACCAGGAAAACAAAATGATTCCAGACTTTCCACAGGCAATAGGAACTTGGCATGCAAAGGACAAATTCCTTCAAGGGAATAAGCAAAATAAGTCTCTTCTACAACTGCTCATTGGCTCTGGAAGTTTAAAGGATTCATATAAGAATCATGAAAATGACTAATATTTACAGAATTCAAAATAGCTAATTCTCCCATATCTATTATTAAAAAATTGTTATTTTTAATATAAAAAGACGCTTATTCTCACAAGGTATTCTTAAGACAGTTAACTTGATTTTGACTTTTTGCTCAACATTGGATACTACCTTCAATCGTGAAAGTGTATAGAAGAAGAATGACACTCTTTGTCAACAATGGCAGTTGACTACTCAAAGCTGCAGGAACCAAAGAATTCCAAGCATTTATTATTCCTACCTCTTCTTTACTCCTCACTTTTTAGTAAGGGGAACTACCTGATGCAAGGCAGGAGAATGAGATTTTTAGCTGCCTCTCAAAAATTGTCCCACCCTAACTAGAGAATTAGAAGCAGCCGTAGCCAATCACAGATGTTAACATCTAATCTGATTCATTCTCCTTAGCACCCTTCAAGACGGGATGCTAGAAACAGAATCTCCATGATTAGAAACATAGATAATGAGATTATCCATTGTTCTTTTATTTTGCCATAATTTTTCAATTAAGTATTTGTTGTTGCTTTTTTTCAGAAGACATCCAGGAAGAGAATCTGTTAGACTAACAACAGGATAGTTGTACTTAGTCATATGCATGCCAAGGAAATCTCGGATTTCCTCCCTCTTGTAAACTCATTTGTCTGGAGACTACTAAAAATACATCCTATTTTAAAAGCAAAGAAGCATAACATAAAATATACTGTTAAAAAGAACACCTTGTTATTTTTATTAATTATATTATTTTGAACCACAAAATGTTTTTAATTCAATTTAATTTATAACTTTAAGACTGCTAGCCATCAGAAATGCAAGAGTAATTTTTAAAAATTAATAAATGTTAATAATTTATAGACTACAATGAAAACATTGGAACTTTCAAAGATCAATTTTAATAGTACTTTTTAAGAGTGTCCCTGAAATTCTCCTTTGCCAACCTACAACTTAGATTCTTTTTCAGTTTTCTTCATCAGTATGCTTGCTTTTTCCAGTGAAAGTCGCTGATTAGCTCCAAAAAGCAAAGTAGTGGAGTCTTTCTAAATGCTCCATCTGCTTCCCCTTAAGTCATTTTATTGAGCAAAGTATACCTTAGCAACTGCTTGTCTTTATTTATTATGTATGATTTTAAAAAAAAAAAGCAAAACACACCTAAAGATTCCGTTTTTATTTGAAGTTACTGTTATTGCTGTCATTACCAGTTTATAGTTTAACTAGAAACATGGTGCCTCAAATAAAACTATTTAAACAACTTGACTAACTTATAGGATACGGTGGTTTAAAACAAAGTTTCTCAATCTTTAGTGTAACTCCTAGTGTTGAAAACTTCCTTTCAAATTAAGCTGGGTTTCTGTGTTCTCAAGGTCACGTATGTTGTCTGAACTGCCATACTGAAGATTAGGTACACTAGTTTAAAGTGACTGAAGTGAATTACTCTGAAGGGAGCAGGCGAAGGACACGAGCATGCACCGAACCTTTGTCCCTGAAGCATGACTCTGGATTTGGGAGCACTAATTAATTGAAAGCACATGCTGCTGAGTCAATACCTGCCAGAAATCCTGATCAGAAGATGAGAAAAAAAAACAAACTGACATTGATTATATGAACAAAAATCCCTGAATCAAATACACATATCATGTAGCATATAAAGACCAAATTAACCCCTGTAATAAAATCACCAGGCATCTGGAAATACAAAAGGCAGTATACAAAGAAATGTTTTATATATTACCTGCAAGCTGCATTCAAAAGAAAACTCTGTTCCTAATAACCACCAAATAAAACATAGTTGTAGAAAACTTATTTTTACAGAAAGAATATACATGAAATTATTGTGTCTTAAAAGAAAAAGCAAACATTTAATTTTTTCCCTCTTAGGTAGTTAAAACATTTCTCTAAGCTTTCTTATTAAGATGTCTGTTTTTTTTCATGAGTATATATTTTAACTTCATGGCAAACTATTGCTATGAAGTTAAAAAATATGAACACACAGGCAAGTGAACTTGGATGAGTTCAGAACACTAGGACTTACTCTAAAGAAAAGTTCAGAATGGCTGTGTGAAAATACGTTTTTCCAAATCCCAGTGCACTACAAGAAATGCTATCCACATTAGTAGTAAAAAGTCAGCCATGTGGAGGCTGACATTTGATGAGGGAATCTAGGTTAGATAATTTAGCAGGCTACTACTCCAAAATAGTTCCAAATTTCAAATGGGTTGAAGTTTGTTTGTTTTTTAAAGAACAAATAAACTTCATTGGCTGTAAAATAAAAGTTGAACTCACCATCTTTCTCAAACAATGCCTAGTAGCGTAGGGAAAATTCTTCATTGAAAAATATATGTTATTAGCAATTTACCAAAGCTCTAGTAGCGTCGTGGTTACGAATCGGGCTGTGAACCTTAAGGTCAGCAGTTCGAAACTACCAGCTGCTTTGCGGGAGAAAGATGAGGCGTTCTGCTCCCGTAAAGATTTACAGCCTCGGAAACCCTGTACAGGGTCGCTATGGGTCGGCACTGACTCAACGGCACTTAACAACAACAACAACAACAAGGGCTAGAATTAATGTGACAGAGGTCCACAGGCTATTACAGCAAAGGGGTATGTAAAGGCAAATCTCTATGAATACCAGACCATTGGAATACGAGAAATCATACCAGAAGTCTCTCTTAAGTCAATGGACTAGCTAATTAACCCAGGCCAATTGCTTATTTAGAGAGAAAACAAACGCAGAGATTTTTACAGCTGACTGACCTGGGAAGGACAGAATCAACCACAGAGAGAGTAATTAGGCAGAAGGTAGGCTCTTCTGCAGTACTTCACATAAACCTGGAGCTAAGACACTATATACGAGAGCAGCAAACTCCTTTCATAAATTGAGTGAAGCAACTTAAAGTCATGCACAAGAGCTACAATTTGCACAGCCAGATACTTTATCTACTGTTTCAATTTTACAGAGAAGGTAGTTGACACTCAGAGGTTAAGAATGGAGCAGAACCTAGCGGAACATAGGTTTTGTCTGTGTCCAAAGTCCACACTCGTCATTCTGCTTGCTGTACTGTGCATGAAGAAGTGTAGCAATCCACAAGATGGTATATGCTTTGACTTGGAGAGAGTGATGAAAACTGAGAGGGAGGCAGTGTGCTGGGCTGGCACGCACACACGCTCTCCCTCTCTCTCTGTTAATAGCCTTTATTTTGTTGGGCAATGTTAGGATTACAGAAAAATTGGGAAGAGAGTTTCCATCGATAGCCCTCCTCTTGAGCCGTTTCACCTATTATTATCATTTTGCCACACTGTCGGATGTGGTTCAGCACACTTTATATAATATCCACTAGCCATTTACATACAGCTAGCTGCTCAAAATGGAAATCCTTTTAGAAAACATTTCATAGAGCAAATGCCAGAGACCAGATTTTCTTAGGGCTATGCTGTGTGGATTCCTGGTGTGGCACTATAGGATAAGCACTGGACTGGCTGACAGTTTAAACCCACCAGCTGCTTCTTGGAAACCCTATACCGGGTCGCTTTGAGTCGGAACCAAATTAATGGCACTTAACAACAACAACTACAATGCCTTGTGAGCTGCTGTAGGATAAGCACTGGACTGCAAATTGAAAGAATGGCAGTTCAAATTTACCAGTCACTCCTCAGAAACCCTACACACGGTTACTATGAGTTGGAACCGACTACACTGTACTTACAACCACCACCACCACGCTATGTAAAGAATAAGTAAGATTCTAATGAGAAAGAAGAGCAATGGGTGAGACTATGTTTTGAAAACCATTTAAAGGACTTTGGGTGAGAAAGATGGAAGATGAAAATATCTGTGGCTAAAAATAAAAATGGAAATTTTCAGCAGGTGTCAATGAATTCCTGAACTGTTGAATCAGGAACTGAGCTCACTTTGGTAATTTAATTCTATTCTAAATGTTTGCCCATGTGAAACTAGCTGCTCACCAGCTGCCACCAACTCATGGCAACCACATGAACGTCAGAGGAGAGCTATGCTACCAAGGGTTTCAATCGCTGATTTTTCAGTAACAGATCAACAGGCCTTTTCCCCGAGGTCCCTCTGGATGGACTGGAACCTTTGGGTTAGCAACGAATGAGTTAACTGTTTGCATCACCCAGGAACTAGCGTAAGACTATAATGAATTTGTTGTTGTTGTTCCTGTATGGTGTCAAGTGGGTTCCACTCAGAGTTATCCCATATGGGGTTTCTGAGAGCAGCTGGTAGGTTTGAACTGTTGACCAGTCAGTCCAGTGTTTATCCTACAGTGCCACACCAGGGCTCATTATAAATAATAACTGTTGTTTGTTGTTATTAAGTGCTGTCGAGTCAGTTCTGATGAATAATTCAGAAGGTAGAGTAAATAAACTGTTTAGCTTACAATATTATTTTCTTAAAAAATTATTTTCTCTCTACTGATCCATTCTGATCAGCAAAGATCCAAATTTTCAAATACACGTAACACCGCTCATCTGGAAGGCTTCATTTTAAAAAAGAGAAAGATATGCACTTTTAAAAACAAACGTCAGATGAAACAAGCTATATGAATGGTTAAATGTGAAGCTGATGATGTGCCCTGTAAACTTTCACTCAATCCAAAATAAAAACATTTAATAAAACAAACAAACAAACAAAAAACAAACAAACGTCAGTTGGTGCTCACGGTATATGAGAAAATGATGAATAAAATAATAATGCAAATGATATTCTAGTTTCTAACTTCAGGTATTAACATTTGTATACATCTTATTTTCCTTCTTTAAAATGAAATATGTGGTTTTCCAAGTTATTATGGATTCCTACCAGATTTATTCGCAGTCCTAATGCCACACTGAACTATAAGGTTGGTTTGAAACACAGGTCAAGCTATTCAAATCTGTCAGCTGTTCCTCAGAAATTATACAGGGTCGCTATGAGTCAGAACCAACTCGATGACACTTAACAACAACAATCATACTTACTCAATCTGTATGTGGAGCATGGACTATATGAAAAAGAACATGGCATCAAGATTGGAGGAAAATCCATTAATAACCTGTAGATGGCATAACGTTACTTGCTACAAGTGAAGAGGACTTGAAGCACTTAACTAAGGAAGACCGAAGACTAGCCTTTAGTATGAATTACACTTCAATACAAAGATGACAAAAATCCTCACAACCAACGGAGAAAAGATTGAAGTTGTTAAGTAATCCACTGTACTTGTATCCACAATCAATGCCCATGTTAGCAGCAGTTAAGAAACCAAATGAAATACTGCATTAGGAAAATCTGATGCAAAAGATCTCCTTAAAGTCTTAAAAAGGAAAGATTTCACTTTGAGAACTAAGGTATGTCTGAAGCAAGCCATGGGATTTTAAATCATCTCATTCATATGCATGTGGAAGTTGGACAATGAATAAAGAAGACTGAAAAAGTGTTGATGTATTTGCATTATAGTGTTGGTGAAGAATACTGAATGCACCATGGAGTCCCAGAAGAATGAATAAATGTCTTGGAAGAAGTACAGCTTCAGTGCTTCTAATAAGAAAGGATGGTGAGACTCTCATATATTTTGGACATGCTATCAAGAAGGACCAGTCCCTAAAGATTGGCACCTTTTTTTCATTGAAGTCCCTCAATGAAATGGACTGACAAAGTGGCTACAACATGGGTTCAAACAGCAAGGACTGTTAGGATGGTGCAGTTCTGGGTTGTATTTTTCCTGTATTCACAGGGCTGCTATAAGTTAGAACCAACTTGAGGGCACCTAACAACAACAACAACAAATCTTATTTCATCAAAACAGCAAAAAATGACTTCCTTCAATGACTTCAGTAACTCTTACTCTGAGCAAATATATATTAAGTAAGGTAGTAAAATAAAAGAACTATCTGACTAAAGAAATTTCAATTTGTAGATGTTTTGTAACAAAAGGAGGGGAGTGGTTGACTTTGCAGTCCAGGAGCGAAGGTTCCTGGGACCATCAAGGGAGAAAAGCAGAGTGAGGAGGCCCTACCCAGAGAAGCAGTGATGCCAGAGATGGAAGCAGAGATGATGACATGGAGAGATGGAGCAGCTGGGGACTGTAGACACAGAGAGGGAGAGGGACTGTGTGCTGATGACTGGGGGGGAGGGGGGGGCAGGCTTGCAGGGTATACCCTTTGGTTGGTTGATGATGCATGGAGGGGTTTGTAACCATGGCAATGAAATGATATACTATAGGATGAATGTAAAGCTAATGTTCTCCCATGTAAACTGTAAGGACCTAACTGATTTTACCTGATTTTGCCTACCTAGAAACTGCTTGACTAAACTCTAGTCAGGCTCAGAAAAGCATTTTAAATAGACAAGGCCTCAGTTTTTAGTCCCCTCCAGAGACAAGGTCAATCTCCATTCTGTACATTAGCCTGAACATGTCCTCCTGTTCCAGAAACGTGCTAAATCAGCTCATGCTGCCTTAGAATATCCTTTCACCCCTAGCAACAGCGGGAACTAGATAAAGAATAGACAGGACCCAAGGCCAGATGCCAGATGTTTTCCTTTACCCTAGCCTAAGAACAAAGA